CTTGCTCTAATTCTGTACCGAATATGAGCATGTCATCCACGTATAAGCAAATGATAACTCCATGACCGTTATCATCAAACCTGCTATATACACACTTGTCTGATTGATTCATGTCCCGCATTTTGTACGGTTAAATTATAACTATTCGGACATGTGTTATTTTGCGATACTAAATTCCTTAGCCATTCTGCTTCTTTCCCAGTAGCTGCTAAGGCGATAAATTCCGACGCCATGGTCGAATCCGAAATGCAAGTTTGTTTCTTGGAAGCCCAAGAAATCGCAGCTCCACCTAAAAGGTAAAGCCATCCACTAACCGAGGCATAATCCTCTTCACTAGAGTTCCAACTCGCATCGGTATATCCTTCTAACACCGAAGGTTGACCCGTGTAGCGTAGACCATAATTAATTGTCTTTTTCAAGTACCGAAGTACTCTTCGTACATCATTCCAATGATGTACGCTTGGGTTACTCGTGTATCTGCTCAACTTCCCTATTGCGTATGCTATGTCGGGTCGAGTGCTAGTCATAGCATACATCAAACAACCAATGACACTAGCGTACTCAAGTTGAGCTACCGGTTCCCCACTATTAGGTGCAAACTTAGCGCTACAATCCATCGGAGTAGAAGCCGGAGGGCTTTCAAACATATCAAATCGTTTTAACACTTTCTCAACGTAGTGTGATTGAGATAGTGTTATCGAACCTTGATCTCGTTTTATCCTAATGCCAAGGATAACATCAGCCTCACCTAAGTCTTTCATCGAAAACTTCGATGACAAGAAGTCTTTTGTCTTCTTGACTTGCTCTAATTCTGTACCGAATATGAGCATGTCATCCACGTATAAGCAAATGATAACTCCATGACCGTTATCATCAAACCTGCTATATACACACTTGTCTGATTGATTCAGACGAAATCCATTAGCCAAAACGACCTCATCAAACTTTTGATGCCATTGTTTGGGTGCTTGTTTCAACCCATACAACGATTTGATTAACTTGCACACCTTGTGTGCTTGTCCCGATAGGATAAAACCTTCTGGTTGCTTCATATACACCTCTTCTTCTAGATCACCATTCAAGAATGCCGTTTTGACATCCATTTGGTGGATCACAAGATTGTTTATCGCTGCAAGAGCAATCAACAATCTTATCGTAGCTATTCTAGCTACCGGTGCATACGTATCAAAGAAATCGATACCTTCTTTTTGTCTAAAGTCTTGAGCTACTAGACGAGCCTTGAACTTATCAATAGTTCCATCGACTCTCATCTTCTTTTTGAAGATCCACTTACAACCAATCGGTTTACAACCTGGAGGAGGATCTACTAAGACCCAAGTGTTGTTGCTCATGATGGAGTCCATCTCATCATTTATTGCTTCTTTCCAGAATGCGACATCCTGCGATCTCATCGCTTTATCAAAAGTCCTAGGGTCTCCCTCGATATTGTAAACATAAGCGAGTTGAGTTACGATCGACTCATTAGTACCTTCTACTAGGTACATATGAAAGTCCGGACCAAAGGTTTTTCTTTTCCTTATACGCTTACCTCTACGAGGTTCACCTTGTCCGTCATCGTGATCGACTACTCGATCACTTGAGCTTGGTATAGCTCGAGGTTGTCTTTCAACCGAAGAAAAACGATTCTCGTCAAACAATGCATCTCTCGACTCTATAACCGTGTGAACGGGTATATAGTCATTCTGTTCTATAATATAGAACCTATAGGCCTTACTATGAGAAGCATAGCCTATAAAGATACATTCGATACCTCGTTCACCCAATGTTTTACGTTTGGGTTCCGGCACTTTAACTATTGCCCGACAACCCCAAATCCGAAAATAATTCAGATTTGGTTTTCGCTTATACCATAGCTCATATGGGGTTATTTTATTCTTTTTCGAGGGAACTCGATTAAGAATGTAGCAAGCCGTTAACATGGCTTCTCCCCAAAAACCCTCGCTTAATCCCGAGAAAGAAAGCATGGAGTTTACCATTTCTTTCAACACCCTATTCTTTCTTTCCGCTACACCATTTTGTTGCGGTGTATACGGAGCGGTCTCTCATGAATCATGCCTACGGATTCAAAAAATGTTGGATCATAATATTCCCCTCCCCTATCGGTTCTAAGCTTCTTGAGCTTAACCCCGAGTTGTGTTTCAACCTCGAACTTATACACCCTAAACTTATCCAAAGCTTCGTCTTTAGAATGCAACAAGTAAACGTAGCATAACCTAGTCGAATCCTCAATAAACGTAACTACGTACTTTTTATTTCCTAGAGACGGTGTACTATGAAAATCGCATAAGTCACTATGTACAAGTTCTAGAATGTCCGAACTTCTTTCTACGTTAGGAAATGACAGCCTCGTGATTTTTGTTTTCATGCAAGTAACGCAACGATGATCATTCTCCAATTCACATGGTGGAATAAGATCTAACTTAGACATTACATGCATCCGTTTAAAATGAACGTGACCTAATCTAGCATGCCATAAATCTGAAACATTGGAAGAGAGAACATACAAAGAAGTACTCGGTTTATTAATATTGAGTTTGAACATCGAATTACATAGATAGCCTTGTCCAACAAAAATTCCCCCTTTGGACAATACAAACTTATCAGCTTCAAACACCATTTTGAACCCGAATCGATTCAATACGCTACCCGATACAAGATTCTTCCTAACATCCGGTGCATAAAGCACATCTCGAAGAGTAAGAGTTTTCCCGGATGTAAACAACAAATCTACTTGTCCCTTTCCCAAGACATCAACCATAGATTCGTTGCCCATGTAAAGCACGCTTCCATCCTTGACGTACTCAAACGTCTTGAATAGGTTGCGGTCTTTACATATGTGTCTCGTAGCGCCTGAATCAATCCACCAAGAGTTATCACTCTCCTGCACATGATTCAGCTCAGAAATCATAGCCACAAAATTCATAATCGAATTTGTGTCAACAAGAGTAATCGTACCTTGGTTGGGTTGGCCTTGGTTGTGTTTGCCTTGGCCTTGACCCTTCTTTCTATTCTTGTAAGAATAGCAATCCTTTTTAAAGTGTCCGGGCTTGTTGCAGAACCAGCAACTCCCACTCGGCTTAGGCCTTTTGTTTGAGTGGCCTTTCGGGGATTTGTTTGGCCTCTTTTGGCCCCGTTTCTTCTCTTCCTCCACCACATGAACCGCGGTAGACGAAGAAACATGTGTGTCTTTCTTGTCATGCATTCGAAAATTCTCCTCAATCCGAAGATGTGATCCCAATTGCTCAAGGGTCATATCTTCCTTCCTATGCTTCAAGGAACGCTTAACGTCCTTCCAAGACGGTGGTAGCTTGTCAACAATAGAAGAAACCATAATGGTTTCATCCATTTTCAACTCATGTTGAGTGAAACTACTCAAGATCCTCTGGAGCTCATGAAATTGCTCCATAACCGGTCTTGCGTCCACCATCTTGTAAGCGTTAAACTCGCTTACAAGAAACCTCTTACTCGAGGCATCTTCCGACATGTATTTCTCTTCTAATTTGGACCACAATTCTTTTGCAATCTCTATATTTTGATACACATCAAAAAGGGTATCGGACATACCGTTCAATATGTGTCCGCAGCACACATAATTGTCGTTGTCCCACTTGTTCCTCGTGCGTGCTTGAGCGAGCGTCTCTTCTTCATTCTCCTCCGGTCGTGGAGTGCTGATCACATACGCCACGTGCAACGTAGTAAGAAGAAATTTCATCTTCTTTTGCCACCGCCGGAAAGCCACGCCCTTGAATTTTTCGAATTTGTGAAAATCAAGAGTTAGATCTCTCACCGAAGAACCCATACCCGTCATTCGATTTTCCCTTCCCCGTGTATCCGAAATAAGGGATAACGTTTTAGATTGTTAGAGTAACTATGAATACAGCGGAAAAGAACAATAAAACAGTGAAATCGAAATAAAGATGAAACAACCCGGATATAATCTTCTAGGCGCGTAGAACGCTTTCCTTTATCATTTCCAAGGGATCAAATAAGAAATATCCGAAAACGGTTCACAAAAAGAACCTGGAACTTGAAACCTTTCTTGTTTCTTACTAACATCTAAATTCAAAACTTTTACTTTGAATCAAACAAAGCTAAACATATTAAACATAAAAGAATAGTGAAGCAATACACTCCAAAAACAGCTTCCAGTTAGCTATGGGAAATATTATCCCAATAACCCGATAAAACTGCAACTGACATGAGAAAGCCAATTACAAACAACCAAAAACATCGAATTCCTAAAATTGATATCTGCGCCATGAAAGGACTACCCACTTGTCTTTCAATACCACGAAGCTCATCTTGAAGCTTGGCTCTCCTGCTAAGAAGCGAGGCCATCATAGCTGATGGATTTGTAGATCCTCTTTGCCCTAAAATAATTAAAGAAACGGCCAGATATAACAAATTTAAATCAAACATCATATTTGATTTGACACAAACACAAATTAATTTTTAACAAAAAAGGGTTTTCATCCCCCCTTACCATCTGTATCCATATGGTGAACAAAACTAGCTTTTGGATTCTGAGCAGAAGTCCAAAAATTACGAGATCGGGAATTGGTTAAGTATCAACGACTCAACGTTTTCCGAAATCAGATCCTAGATCGTGGATAGGAGCAATTCCAGTTAGGGGAGTGAATTTGAGCGGGAGCTTAAGCTGTGGCCAAGAAAAGCTTACTACTTTCCTGCAAAAGTAAAATATCTAATACAATCATAAACTCAGAGAATCTCAACCATGAAAACAGGAATTCGAAAGTTGAAGCAGATTACAGAGAAGGTAACAATTCACTTTGTTCAACTCTATCAGCCACTTTTTCCTTGTGTTTGACTCTATTACAAAACAAAAGTAGATAAGTGGATCATGTTAAGATGTTTAAATACCTAAAACTAATATGTCAAGATTCAGAGAAATACTCTCCTTTATATAAACATCAAAGACAGTGAATGATGGTTGTTTTCAGGCAACTAACTCATGTTTCTAAACAATTTCGAGCATTGTTCTGCTCCTACACTCCAACGATCACGGGTATTACATATGGACGAACTTATTCTATATATCTTTTCTCATTTCTACTGCATTTTTCATAACAATATGCGTCCTTCACATCCAAATCATTGACAAACCATCGTTTTCTCATCTCATCTCACACCATATGAAGGATTCAGACATTTACTAAAGAACACGCATAATTTGAGTTCATAAGCTAAGATCACATGTTGTATCCACCAATCAAATCCTGTAACTCGTAGACATCCTGAAAAAGCTATAACTAAGCATCCTACAAAAACCAAAGCGAATAGATATAAACCATCTTACACAGAATCTGAAGGGAAAATAAACACCGACTAATTCAAAAGACCCATAGAAGAAATATGGACTGAAATGGCGAATGATTGTTCACTAAAAATCAAAGCTTTGTAGAATGACTTGAACAAAAATCGCAGCTTTGGGCAAGTGAAGTGAAGGGACACAAACCCAGATGGAAAAAAGAAGTGCGATTCTAAGATTTCAGAAATTACCCATCAGATTAAATCAGAAATTTCTCGCAGTGTTGAGCAATTCGAAAAAAGTGAAGGATCGATTCCAAACCTTGACTCAGTATGAAATTACGAATGACAAAATCAATTTGATTCTCTCTCGTCTCGCTTTGTCTCTGTTTTTTTTGTTCCTCCCTCTTGGTGGGGTTTCTCGTTTATTTACAATTTTGCCAGCCGTGGAAAATGAATAACCCGAATTAAACCGACGGAAGAGGGATACAAACAGCAGGAGAAGTGACTGATGATAGTGAGAACAGCCTATCTTCTGGCTGAAACTTCCGAGACCGCTTCAAACTGCATTCAATGGAGATTTGCGGTTTTGTGAGATGCATATTTATACAAAGAAGTAAAATAAACATTCAGCCGTTTCTACATTGCATAAACAATTGCTGTAAAACGTAAACCTATGGATCTAATTGTCTGGATGAGGCGACCAAGATTCTCAACAGCTAGATAACAAAAGATGTAACAAATCTGAGATAAAATAGCTTCTGATATTTACAATTGTGTTTCACTTCTCTTTTATCTCACTCCAATGGATACACATCGAAGAATGCAAAGGGATAAAGCATTTTCATTCAAAGAGAAAACAGCAAACAACAAAGGCCAGAATGCTTCTCACAGTGCAGTATTCTTGGAGGATGAGAGGAAACCTTCATATCCTTTAAGTACATTCCCGCATTGGCTGGGATCCTGCAAGTAACTTGTTTCCATATCGTACACCTGAAAAAATCCGACAAAACGGCATATAAATAACACAAGCATTGACATTCCAATAATAATTCTCCCAGCGTTAGTAGATGAAATGCTATTCTTCATCTAAATAGGTTATCATTTCCAAGGGATCAAATAAGAAATATCCGAAAACGGTTCACAAAAAGAACCTGGAACTTGAAACCTTTCTTGTTTCTTACTAACATCTAAATTCAAAACTTTTACTTTGAATCAAACAAAGCTAAACATATTAAACATAAAAGAATAGTGAAGCAATACACTCCAAAAACAGCTTCCAGTTAGCTATGGGAAATATTATCCCAATAACCCGATAAAACTGCAACTGACATGAGAAAGCCAATTACAAACAACCAAAAACATCGAATTCCTAAAATTGATATCTGCGCCATGAAAGGACTACCCACTTGTCTTTCAATACCACGAAGCTCATCTTGAAGCTTGGCTCTCCTGCTAAGAAGCGAGGCCATCATAGCTGATGGATTTGTAGATCCTCTTTGCCCTAAAATAATTAAAGAAACGGCCAGATATAACAAATTTAAATCAAACATCATATTTGATTTGACACAAACACAAATTAATTTTTAACAAAAAAGGGTTTTCATCCCCCCTTACCATCTGTATCCATATGGTGAACAAAACTAGCTTTTGGATTCTGAGCAGAAGTCCAAAAATTACGAGATCGGGAATTGGTTAAGTATCAACGACTCAACGTTTTCCGAAATCAGATCCTAGATCGTGGATAGGAGCAATTCCAGTTAGGGGAGTGAATTTGAGCGGGAGCTTAAGCTGTGGCCAAGAAAAGCTTACTACTTTCCTGCAAAAGTAAAATATCTAATACAATCATAAACTCAGAGAATCTCAACCATGAAAACAGGAATTCGAAAGTTGAAGCAGATTACAGAGAAGGTAACAATTCACTTTGTTCAACTCTATCAGCCACTTTTTCCTTGTGTTTGACTCTATTACAAAACAAAAGTAGATAAGTGGATCATGTTAAGATGTTTAAATACCTAAAACTAATATGTCAAGATTCAGAGAAATACTCTCCTTTATATAAACATCAAAGACAGTGAATGATGGTTGTTTTCAGGCAACTAACTCATGTTTCTAAACAATTTCGAGCATTGTTCTGCTCCTACACTCCAACGATCACGGGTATTACATATGGACGAACTTATTCTATATATCTTTTCTCATTTCTACTGCATTTTTCATAACAATATGCGTCCTTCACATCCAAATCATTGACAAACCATCGTTTTCTCATCTCATCTCACACCATATGAAGGATTCAGACATTTACTAAAGAACACGCATAATTTGAGTTCATAAGCTAAGATCACATGTTGTATCCACCAATCAAATCCTGTAACTCGTAGACATCCTGAAAAAGCTATAACTAAGCATCCTACAAAAACCAAAGCGAATAGATATAAACCATCTTACACAGAATCTGAAGGGAAAATAAACACCGACTAATTCAAAAGACCCATAGAAGAAATATGGACTGAAATGGCGAATGATTGTTCACTAAAAATCAAAGCTTTGTAGAATGACTTGAACAAAAATCGCAGCTTTGGGCAAGTGAAGTGAAGGGACACAAACCCAGATGGAAAAAAGAAGTGCGATTCTAAGATTTCAGAAATTACCCATCAGATTAAATCAGAAATTTCTCGCAGTGTTGAGCAATTCGAAAAAAGTGAAGGATCGATTCCAAACCTTGACTCAGTATGAAATTACGAATGACAAAATCAATTTGATTCTCTCTCGTCTCGCTTTGTCTCTGTTTTTTTTGTTCCTCCCTCTTGGTGGGGTTTCTCGTTTATTTACAATTTTGCCAGCCGTGGAAAATGAATAACCCGAATTAAACCGACTAGAATTGGTACGGTTAAATGCAAACCAAACGGAACCATATCCGAGACATTTCGGTTTATCTAGCTAGCTGTTCTTGTTCCCGTCCGATTATTTGGTTAATAAGCTAATAATTGAATTGGTCCGAACCGAATACTTTTTTTTAATATGGTGGGAACCTGTTGCAACAATCCTTCGGATAATAAACTTCTGACTCTATACAATAGCCGATAAACCACGCAAAACATGTAAAAAGTGTTGTTTATTTTAGAGTAAATTGATGGATTTAATAAATCTCTCATGTGATTCATATTTATATGTATTACGGATATAGTGGAGGAGTTATATATTCGTAAATGATATAGTATGAATTGGTAAAGTATATACATGTATTTTGTAAAGTATATACTTGTGTTTAGTAGTGAAATTTAAGTGCAGAAATTATGCACGAGCATGTAACACGGGCGTGTTAATTCTGCACGGGCAGTGTAACACGGGCGTGTTAATTACAAACACGGCCGTGTTAGGTTCAACACGGGCCGTGTTAATTCTCTGAGAAAAACGTTGTTTTTCTCAGACATTTGACACAGACCGTGTTAAGGTGCAACACGGACCGTGTCAAATCTCTGAGAGAGTGTTAATTTTGCACAGACAATTGACACGGACCGTGTCAGATTCGACACGGTCGTGTTAAATGTCTGTAATATGAACAAATGCGGCCTTTCGCATGAAAACTACTAAATGGATACAATCAATATGTGTCCGCAGCACACATAATTGTCGTTGTCCCACTTGTTCCTCGTGCGTGCTTGAGCGAGCGTCTCTTCTTCATTCTCCTCCGGTCGTGGAGTGCTGATCACATACGCCACGTTTAGAAAAACTATGAATACAGCGGAAAAGAACAATAAAACAGTGAAATCGAAATAAAGATGAAACAACCCGGATATAATCTTCTAGGCGCGTAGAACGCTTTCCTAAAACGTTATTCCCTCCCCTACCGAGCAAAGGAGAAATCCGAGAATACGTTTAGAGATACAAAGAAGATCAGCAACGGTTGATTTGCTCCTCAAACGTTGTCCAAAACAGAAAAACCCGAGAAAGAAGATGAACAGTAAAAGATGGAGAAGAAGTAGCAAGTTTCTTCACCAAAAAGGCTCACAAATCTCTCAAAACCAAATTAGATTTCGTATATCAACATTCTCTGATGTTCTTGGCTTTAAAAAACACCAGAGACATGATCAAAAGTTGTATCCATTTAGTAGTTTTCATGCGAAAGACCGCATTTGTTCATATTACAGACATTTAACACGACCGTGTCGAATCTGACACGGTCCGTGTCAATTGTCTGTGCAAAATTAACACTCTCTCAGAGATTTGACACGGTCCGTGTTGCACCTTAACACGGTCTGTGTCAAATGTCTGAGAAAAACAACGTTTTTCTCAGAGAATTAACACGGCCCGTGTTGAACCTAACACGGCCGTGTTTGTAATTAACACGCCCGTGTTACACTGCCCGTGCAGAATTAACACGCCCGTGTTACATGCTCGTGCATAATTTCTGCACTTAAATTTCACTACTAAACACAAGTATATACTTTACAAAATACATGTATATACTTTACCAATTCATACTATATCATTTACGAATATATAACTCCTCCACTATATCCGTAATACATATAAATATGAATCACATGAGAGATTTATTAAATCCATCAATTTACTCTAAAATAAACAACACTTTTTACATGTTTTGCGTGGTTTATCGGCTATTGTATAGAGTCAGAAGTTTATTATCCGAAGGATTGTTGCAACAGGTTCCCACCATATTAAAAAAAAGTATTCGGTTCGGACCAATTCAATTATTAGCTTATTAACCAAATAATCGGACGGGAACAAGAACAGCTAGCTAGATAAACCGAAATGTCTCGGATATGGTTCCGTTTGGTTTGCATTTAACCGTACCAATTCTAGTCGGTTTAATTCGGGTTATTCATTTTCCACGGCTGGCAAAATTGTAAATAAACGAGAAACCCCACCAAGAGGGAGGAACAAAAAAAACAGAGACAAAGCGAGACGAGAGAGAATCAAATTGATTTTGTCATTCGTAATTTCATACTGAGTCAAGGTTTGGAATCGATCCTTCACTTTTTTCGAATTGCTCAACACTGCGAGAAATTTCTGATTTAATCTGATGGGTAATTTCTGAAATCTTAGAATCGCACTTCTTTTTTCCATCTGGGTTTGTGTCCCTTCACTTCACTTGCCCAAAGCTGCGATTTTTGTTCAAGTCATTCTACAAAGCTTTGATTTTTAGTGAACAATCATTCGCCATTTCAGTCCATATTTCTTCTATGGGTCTTTTGAATTAGTCGGTGTTTATTTTCCCTTCAGATTCTGTGTAAGATGGTTTATATCTATTCGCTTTGGTTTTTGTAGGATGCTTAGTTATAGCTTTTTCAGGATGTCTACGAGTTACAGGATTTGATTGGTGGATACAACATGTGATCTTAGCTTATGAACTCAAATTATGCGTGTTCTTTAGTAAATGTCTGAATCCTTCATATGGTGTGAGATGAGATGAGAAAACGATGGTTTGTCAATGATTTGGATGTGAAGGACGCATATTGTTATGAAAAATGCAGTAGAAATGAGAAAAGATATATAGAATAAGTTCGTCCATATGTAATACCCGTGATCGTTGGAGTGTAGGAGCAGAACAATGCTCGAAATTGTTTAGAAACATGAGTTAGTTGCCTGAAAACAACCATCATTCACTGTCTTTGATGTTTATATAAAGGAGAGTATTTCTCTGAATCTTGACATATTAGTTTTAGGTATTTAAACATCTTAACATGATCCACTTATCTACTTTTGTTTTGTAATAGAGTCAAACACAAGGAAAAAGTGGCTGATAGAGTTGAACAAAGTGAATTGTTACCTTCTCTGTAATCTGCTTCAACTTTCGAATTCCTGTTTTCATGGTTGAGATTCTCTGAGTTTATGATTGTATTAGATATTTTACTTTTGCAGGAAAGTAGTAAGCTTTTCTTGGCCACAGCTTAAGCTCCCGCTCAAATTCACTCCCCTAACTGGAATTGCTCCTATCCACGATCTAGGATCTGATTTCGGAAAACGTTGAGTCGTTGATACTTAACCAATTCCCGATCTCGTAATTTTTGGACTTCTGCTCAGAATCCAAAAGCTAGTTTTGTTCACCATATGGATACAGATGGTAAGGGGGGATGAAAACCCTTTTTTGTTAAAAATTAATTTGTGTTTGTGTCAAATCAAATATGATGTTTGATTTAAATTTGTTATATCTGGCCGTTTCTTTAATTATTTTAGGGCAAAGAGGATCTACAAATCCATCAGCTATGATGGCCTCGCTTCTTAGCAGGAGAGCCAAGCTTCAAGATGAGCTTCGTGGTATTGAAAGACAAGTGGGTAGTCCTTTCATGGCGCAGATATCAATTTTAGGAATTCGATGTTTTTGGTTGTTTGTAATTGGCTTTCTCATGTCAGTTGCAGTTTTATCGGGTTATTGGGATAATATTTCCCATAGCTAACTGGAAGCTGTTTTTGGAGTGTATTGCTTCACTATTCTTTTATGTTTAATATGTTTAGCTTTGTTTGATTCAAAGTAAAAGTTTTGAATTTAGATGTTAGTAAGAAACAAGAAAGGTTTCAAGTTCCAGGTTCTTTTTGTGAACCGTTTTCGGATATTTCTTATTTGATCCCTTGGAAATGATAACCTATTTAGATGAAGAATAGCATTTCATCTACTAACGCTGGGAGAATTATTATTGGAATGTCAATGCTTGTGTTATTTATATGCCGTTTTGTCGGATTTTTTCAGGTGTACGATATGGAAACAAGTTACTTGCAGGATCCCAGCCAATGCGGGAATGTACTTAAAGGATATGAAGGTTTCCTCTCATCCTCCAAGAATACTGCACTGTGAGAAGCATTCTGGCCTTTGTTGTTTGCTGTTTTCTCTTTGAATGAAAATGCTTTATCCCTTTGCATTCTTCGATGTGTATCCATTGGAGTGAGATAAAAGAGAAGTGAAACACAATTGTAAATATCAGAAGCTATTTTATCTCAGATTTGTTACATCTTTTGTTATCTAGCTGTTGAGAATCTTGGTCGCCTCATCCAGACAATTAGATCCATAGGTTTACGTTTTACAGCAATTGTTTATGCAATGTAGAAACGGCTGAATGTTTATTTTACTTCTTTGTATAAATATGCATCTCACAAAACCGCAAATCTCCATTGAATGCAGTTTGAAGCGGTCTCGGAAGTTTCAGCCAGAAGATAGGTCTTCCGATTTCCCTTTGTCGTGATATCTTCTAGACGACTTTGATTTTTGATTTGTGCTAAAACGAGTTATGGGTTTTTTCGAAAATGGTTTATTTGCAACTCACGGGACAAATGATTTAGTAGTTTTGACCATGCACAAGGATTCTAGTTTGTATTCCATTAGTCGATAGGCTTCATGGCTTGAAGGGAATATGTGTGAGAATCCTTCAATAACCCGAAAAGTGGGTTTCTTTTGTGAAAAAATGCATTGTTTGCATTATAAATTCACTTTCATCACCATAACTTGGTAATAGTAACATGAACTGTATAGTGTGACATAAAATGATTAGGCTCCTTTCTATTTTTCTTTCATAGGCCGAGGAGCTTACTGCAGCGCGTGATGGTGAGTTCTTTTCTTGATCCAATCCAAATTCCTTTACTTGTCATTGTGTCGTCACTTGTGGTTCTTTTCTGTTGTAGAAGGGAAGTTGGAGTTTGGAGGCGGGCGGTCAAAGGGTGGAGCCATATACGCAAACGGGCAGTAAGGCGTCCTTTTTTTCACTTTCTCGTCTCTAAAAATCGTGGAACTGAGAAAGAGGTTCCCTTTGTTGAAATGGACAGAGGAAAACCGAAGAAGGGAAGAGGCGGTCCAAGAGAAGCGAAGAGGCTTAAGCATTCGAGTGAACTAGACTATGACTACGAGGATGACCCCGACGTCACCTTATGATTATTGTCATTACAACATCAATGGCAATGACGATAATTTGTACGGAAAATTCCTCCTCCTTCTTCTTCTTGATTAGACCTTTGAAGGTAACACCAGTAGAGGAGCTGTTGAGGAACTTGTGGAAGGCCTCAAAACAAAGCTGTCTTTTTGGCGCTTGAGGCAATTTCATTTGTACTGTCTCTGGTGATTTTGCTCCATCATTTTGTGAACTTTGAAGGATGGTTATATTCTAGGAAGAAAAAAAAGTAATAAAAAGTGATTTTTATATGCAAATTCGTACGGAAGTTTCTTGGTCAAAGAATCCTTTTTTAGGTTTCAGTTTCATTTTCATTTTGGTCGTTAGCAACTCGGAAGTCGAAGAGTTGCAACCCCATCGAATCAAAATGTTTTGTTAAAGGAGACCCTTGGAATTCCAAATGACAGCGTTACAAAATTATTTCTCTAACATTCCATTCGAAATTTCTCAGATGGGTTATGTCTGAAATCTCGCTATTCTTTCATCCGGGTAAGTAAGTTTGCGTATGCATTTGGCTTGTAGAGTTTCAATCTTCCTGGCAAAGACCTTTCCCGATTTAGGGTTCTTTCCCAGTTTTCTTCAGGTTTTTGTTCCTTTTCCCCCTCAGATTCTGCAGAATCAGTGGCAAATTTATCGGGTGTTTTTGTTGATTAGGTCATGAGTTTACTGACGACGGTGTAATCGTTATCTTAGGAAATCAAATGATGGATTTTCAGTAATTGGATGACACTTTGCGGTTAAAAGAGAGCATTTTTAGCGAATCTTTTGGAAGGGTTTATATCTTTGTGTGCGCAAGAACTTGTATTGATGTAGAAATTAGTTTTGGTAGAGAAAAAAATCGTCGGCTTTTTTATTGTGAATTCTCATCTGTGGACTTTGATACGTCATTTTGGATGTTTCATCTCGGCTCGGGCAAGGATGATCATACTATCGATCCGAGATAGTGAAAAGAAATGGTTGGCAGTAGCATTCAAGCTACTGGAGTTGCTGTTTTTTTTTTCTTTTCTGTACATTAGATGTTTACTATGTTCTAACATCAAATGTTTTTGCAGGAAATATTTAGGTACTTTGGTCACGACCGGAGATCAGTTTATCTCTGAAGTCGGGAAATATGGACAGAGTCTCGACTCCACCAGGATTTGTGTCACAAACGTCCTTCGTGTTGAAGCATGTATCCCGTGAAAAAGAAATAACCAATCTCTCTGACGAGGAAACTTTCAAGACTTGCCTTTGGAGCCGACCATGGATTCTACACGATCAGGCAGCTCTGAACTCAGAGGCATCAAGACATGAGGTATCTCTTGAACTATTTCTTTCACGTTAGGGAAGTTTTGCAAAGAAATTTTGTTACACTGTGCATTTGTAACGAAATTTCGTTACAGTTTTAGGATATAAACTCTATGTCTAGGGTCTGAAAATATTCAAAATCACATTAAAAAAAAATGTTATAGTAGAAATGATATAATATATTACTCAAGAAAATTGATGTATGAATTAATTGATCAATTCAACATGTAATATGTCGGCTCAATGTATAGAATGGTTGTGCGAAAGGACTTTCGTAGTTATCAATTTCTAAGTTGATAGAAAGTTGTACGACTAGCATGTCAAATGTTGAACGATTAGAGATTATAATGTTTCGGATTCATTTTATAACAAGTGGGGACGATAAAATTTGATGCTGCACATTTTCGCTATTTAAACGTTTTTTAATGCTCATTTGCATTGTAAATATTAGGCGTGGACGAACGGTTCGGTTAATTCAGGTTCGGTTATTTTCGATTTTGAAAACTCATTATCAAATGGTTATTTAATTTTATTCGATTCGATTTTATTTATTTAAAATTATAACCAAATAAAGATTTTGTTCGATTATTTTTCGATTTTGAAAACTCATGATTAAATGGTTATTTAATTTTATTCGGTTTTATTTATTTAAAATTATAATCAAATAAAGATTATATTCCGTTCTATTCGATTATAATATTAAAAATGTTTTGAATCCATTACAATAGAAGAATATTCAAACAATATTATATACAATACCATCGTAATCATCTTAACATATAAAATAACAAGATCTAAATTTATGCCAGAATTTAGTTTAATATAAAAACAATAAATTTGTAAGTAAATCTCTTCCGGTCCATATCGCATGAATTTTAAAAATAATAAAATAATGATTATATTAGTAATATATATATGTATACACGTGTGGTAAATGGGATGTATAAATGGTTTGAATCGGTTTGATTCAGATTTGATTATTTCGGGTTTTGAAAATTTATAACCAAACAGTTATTAAATTTTAATCGGTTTGGTTCGATTCGAATTCTGTTAATTCGGGTTGAGAGTTCATAACCAATCGGTTATTCGGTTTAATTCTGTTAATAACCGAAATACATTTATTCGGTTTGGTTCATTTATAAACGAACCGAATGTCTACCCCTAATAAATCCTCGTATTCGATTCAAATCCCTCTAAATTCTCTCAAGCCTCTCGATATCTCTCAAATCCTTCCAATTTTGAATTTCATACTCTCTACAAGATCAATTAAGGTAATATTTGTTATGTTTATTTTTATTACATTTTTAGTAAAACCATCAATATACTGACGATTACTCAATTTAGGTGACTTGTCCATCGGCTCAGCCCTTCAGAAGGTCATATGGGCATGGTTCGGAAACATCTTTGTCTCCACAAAGTACACCATCACAACCATCTCCTCCGGAAGATATGGCGGAATCTCAAGTGCCTCTCGAGGATATTCAAGAAAACCAGAGACGGACTACCGTTAGATTGCTTCACCCTAACAAAGAGGGTGGAGCTTTATGGTACATTTGTTTTATTTAATACAATGTTTTTTTAAAAAAAATTAAAAATTTAAATAATTTAATTAATCGTTATTCTTCTTTTGTTTTTTTAGGTTTGATATCGATAAAGAGGTGAATGACTCGATATCAGAGTCCATCAAGCAATATTTTGATGGACTGTCACTCAACTGGTCCGTTCACATAGCGAAATTTGTGTGGTCTTGTTTTATGGTAAGTTTTTTTTTAATATACTCATCATATATCACGTTTTATATATTAACAACGTTAATTTTTTGTTATTAGAAAACGTGGAATTGGGATTCTGCACATTCGGAGCACGTGCGCATCAAATGGAAGGCAATCGTCGTCGAGATCCTTAAATCGGAGGTCTTTGAATTATACTTTCCTCGTTTGATCATAGTAACAAAAATTTGTTTAAAGTTTTAATCTTTCTCAATTTCTCTCATGAATTCGATAATGGTAATTTTTTCTTCTATATTTACATTTAATAGTATGTTAGGTTGTTATGTTTTGTTCTATATTGATCATTTGTTCTTTATTGTTTATTTTAGGGTCTGATTTTGTTTGCTCTATTTTTAAATTATTAATTCATAGTTTTTTTTGGATTTTAGGTTGCTAGAAAACGTTATTCCAAATTCGGTGGTAAATTGGTTGGATCTTCTGGAGCATCGCCACCATCACTACCGAGTCGTCTGTCTCAACCAGATGCTCCTCCACTGTTCAAGGAAGATGATCATGGCGATTTCATGCTCGACATCAATGCAATATTAAATTCATTCAATGAGCGAAATGTCCCGATTATAGACCCCGATCTTGAAGGAGCATTATGGTATTTAATTTTATACATATTTTTTAAAAATAAATTTTATATTAATTTTATTTTTATAATCAATATATAAGTGTGTTTAGGTTTGGAGTTAACGATAAAGAGTTGAAAGAGAAGGTAACAAATATAATAAAAGCGGGAATGCCTCCACTTTATTACTGTTGGACAGTGGCTCCTGAACATATTCGACGTGGTTGGTGGTTGTCTTTTATTGTAAGTTTGTCTATTTATAGTTTTGAAAATTTTATTTTATATTAATGTTAATAGTATAAAGTAATTAATTTTTATTAATTAATTTTTATAATTTGTGCAGCAAACCTTCAGATGGAAAAAGATGCACACCGACAAAATTTTTAAAGAGTTTAATCAATTAGGAATGCAAAGGATTAAGCTCCTCATGAATAATGCCAAGCGGAAGTATGATCTCCATGACAAACCACCGGAATGGGCTACCGAAGATCTCTTTCGACAGCTCGTACAACATTGGAGCTCTGAGCATTTTAAGGAGAAGAGCGCCAAGGCGAAACAAAGTCGTCTTAGCCAAAAATTTGCCGGCGATGGTCCACATCGTCATACCTCTGGTGCTAAATCATTCAAGAAGAGGGCAAAAGAGATGGTATGTATTTGAGTTTTTATTACAAAGTTTGTGTTTATTATTTCAATCATTAATTATTTGTGTTAATTTATATATTTATTTTTTATTTAATTAGGAGAAAGAAATAGGAAGGAAGCCAACACTCGTTGAGTTGGTCGCCCGAACGCATAAAAGATATGATGGATCTATCGTCGATCCTCGGGCCGAGCGCATCATCGGAGTAGTGACTGAGAAGCTTACACAACTTTCACAGGCATCTGACGGTGTCGACTCTTCCTCAAATTTATCTCCAATCGAACAAGACATATGTTACGTTCAGGTATATTCAATTTTAAATGTACATATAAATATTAATATTTTATTACATGCTTAATATATATATATATATATATTGTAGTCGGTTTCACCAAATAAAGGGCGTATCTATGGTCTCGGAGCTTTGCAAAAGGATATACTTGATGATTTCGGTGCAATTGTTCCTCCACATGTGCATTCCGACGTAAGTCGAGAGCGTAAGATCGAGAGCCTCGAGCGCAATGTAGAAATGCAGAAAGAAATGATCAAGGAACAACAAACGAAAGTATCTCAACTCGAACATATGGTGGAGATGCTCCGAGGAGGTCGACCGATCCCCACCACACCTCATATGTAATTTGTACTAGTGACGTATAATACTATTTAAATTTTTATATAATGTTTTTTAAAAGTTTTAATTATTTTATTTGATAAATTATTATATTAAAAAATATATGTGATGTTTTGAAAGTAAAATAATTATATTTTTTAGTTTATTAAAATATATCCCATTAGATTTCCATTGATAAGTATCAAATTTTCATCCGTTGAAAAACTCGTTAAACTTTTTCATCCAGTATTTTCAAAGGAATTCCGTTGGAACATTTTTCCAATTATATAATAGTTATTAATTTTCGTTGGAATTTTATACAGCGAATACTTTGCGTTGAAATATCATGACAATATGTCAACAGTTTTGGTGGTTGAAATTCCGTTGAATATTTCAACATACCTCCGCTTTCAATGACCAGATTGCAATGAATTTTTCCGTTGAAATTACTGTGTTCAACGGATTTTAGACCATTTCCAACGGATATATCCGTTGAAAATGATTTTTTTGTGTGGTGAGCGTAGATGCCTGAGTACACGAGATGATCTTCCACCATCTAGGGTTCCCACATATGTGTTGGTCAAGAAGATTGAAAAGGTTGTTTGGAAGCAGAAAATCGAAGTTCCTACTCATTTTCACTCCACATACTAGAATTGCTCCTATCCACGATCTAGGATCTGATTTCGAAAAACATTCATACTTAACCAATTCCCGATCTCGTGATTTTTGGACTTCTTCTCAGAATCCAAAAGCTAGTTTGTGCACCATATGGATACAGATGTCAAAGTTTTGAATATATGTGTTAGTATAAATAAGGTTCATATATACATGCGTATATATATAAGAAGAATAAACAAGAAAGGTTTCAAGTTCTAGGTTCTTTTTGTGGACCGTTTTCGGATATTTCTTATGTGATCCCCTAGAAATGATAACCTATTTAGATGAAGAATAGCATTTCATCTACTAACGCTGGGAGATTTATTATTGGAATGTCAATGCTTGTGTTATTTATATGCTGTTTGGTCGGATTGTTTCAGGTGTACAATATGGAAACAAGTTACTTGCAGGATCCCCGCCAATGCGGGAATGTACTTAAAGGATATGAAGGTTTCCTCTCATCCTCCAAGAATACTGCACTGTGAGAAGCATTCTGGCCTTTTGTTGTCTGCTGTTTTCTCTGTGAATGAAAATGCTTTCTCCCTTTGCGATTGCATTCTTCGATGTTTATCCACTGGAGTGAGATAAAAGAGAAATGAAGTACTTGAATGGGTCGGAAACTATTTTATCTCGGATTTATTACATCTTTTGTTATTGAGTTGTTGGGAATCTTGGTCACCTTATCCAGACAATTAGATCCATAGGTTTAGGTTTTACAGCAATTGTTTATGCAATGTAGAAACGGCTGAATGTTTTAGTTTGCTTCTTTGTATAATTATGCATCTCACAAAACTGCAAATCTCCATTGAATGCAGTTTGAAGCGGTCTAGGTAAGTTTCAGCCAGAAGATAGGTTGTTCTCACTATCATTCTTCCGATTTCCCTTTGTCGTGATATCTTCTAGACGACTTTGATTTTTGATTTCTGCTAAAACGATTTATGGGGTTTTCAGATTGTTATCGAAAACGATCGATTTGCCACTCACGGGACATATGACCATGCACAAGGATTATAGTTTGTATTCCATTAGTAGATCCTAAAGACATACCACTTCCTCATGAATTTATCATACGCTTCATGGCTTGAAGGGAATATTTGTGAGAATCTTTCAATAACCCGAAAAGTGGGGTTTTCGTGTGAAAAAATGCATTGTTTGCATGATAAATTCATTTTCATCACCACAACTTGGTAATAGTAACATGAACCATATGGTGTGACATAAAATGATTAGGTTCCTTTCTAATTTTCTTTCATCATAGGCCGAGGAGGTTACGGCAGCGTGATGGTGAGTTCTTTTCTTGATCCAATCCAAATTCCTTGTCATTCTATCGTCACTTGCGTTCTTTTCTGTTGTAGAAGGGAGTTGGAGTCTGGAGGCGGGCGATCAAAGGGTGGAGGCATATACACAAGCGGGCAGTAAGTTGTCATTAATATACGCAAACGGGAAGCGTGGAACTGAGAATGAGGTTCCATTTGTGGAAATGGGCAAAGGAAAACCGAAGAATGGAAGAGGCGGTCCAAGAGAGGCGAAGAGGCTTAAGCATTCGAGTGAACTAGACTATGACCACGAGGATGACCCCGACGTCACCTTATGATTATTGTCATTGCAACATCAATGGCAATGGCGATAATTCGTACGGAAAATTCCTTCCCTTTATTCTTCTTGGGTAGGCAGACCTTTGAAGGGTAACACCCTGTCGAGGAACTTGTGGAGGGCCTCAAAACAACGCTGTTTTTTCCTTTGTCTTTTTGGAGCTTGAGGCATTTTCATTTGCATTGTATCTGTGATGATTTTGCTTCATCATTTTGTGAACTTTGTTTATTCTAAAGGAAATGAAAAGCGATTTTACAAGTAATTCGTATGGACAATGAAATCATTTTTAGGTTTTAGTGTCATTTTAATTTTGGTCATCAGCAGCTCAGAAGTCGAAAAGTCGCAGCACAGCGTGTCATTATTTTCAACCAAAAAGGAAAAAATAAAATAAAATAAAAAAGACAATTGAATAAAAACCAAAATGTTTATGTGAAAGGAGACCCTTGGAGTTCCCAATGAGAGCGTTATATAATTATTTCTTCAACACTCCATTCGAAATTTCCAAGTTGCGTCTGAAGTCTTGGGATCTCTTCGTCTTTCATCTGGGTATGTTTACGTATGCATTTGGCTTCTAGAGTTTCAATCTTCCCAGCAAAGGCGTTTCCCGATTTAGGGTTCTTTCCCAGTTTTCTTCAGGTTTTTTGTTCTTTTCCCCCTCAGATTTTGATGAATCAGTAGCAAAATTATGGGCCTTTTTTGGTGTTTTTGTGGATTAGGCCATGAGTTTACTGATGATGGTGTAATCGTTATCTTAGGAATGCAAATGAAAAGGGTGTATCTTTAGCAAATCTTTTGGAAGGGTTTATAGTTTAGTTTTGTATATGCAAGCAACTTTTGTTGTTGTAGAAATCGGTTTCGTTTCAGTCTTAAAAGATCCAAAAGTGTTGCAGAAAAAGAATCAGTTGTACATATAAACATTGGAAGGAAGATATGTATTGTTCAAAACCATGGCTTGATCCCTAATTTGCTAGTTCAGACAGCGGATTACTTGAATATGACAGTCTGTGTACTGTAGTTTTGGCAAGTCTATGTATGTATTTTATGTCGGTTTCCGCACGTTTTCGGTATAAATACTCAGTCTGTGGACTTTGAGATCCAGGATGATTATACTACCGACCGAGATAGTCTGTTATACAAGAAAAGAAAAGGCCGAAAGTAGCATCCAAGCTACTGAAATTGCTGTTTTTTTTTAATTTGACTGTACTGAGTTACCCTTTGTTATGTTCTCACACCAATCGGCGGTTTATGCTTAACATTAGATCTTTCGCTCTTTTTTTTTGCAGGAAATATTTAGGTCCTTTCCGTACCTTCTTTCTGAAAATATGGACAAAGTCTCAACTCCACCAGGATTTGTGTCACAAACATCCTTTGTATTGAAGCAAGTATCCCGTCGAGAAGGAAGATCCAACCTCTCTCGATCGGGACGACGAGCTGATAAGGAAAGCTTCGAGAGTTGCCTTTGGAGCCGACCGTGGATACTGCATGATCAGGCAACTCACAGCTCAGAGCCACCAAAACACGAGGTAGCTCTTGAACTATTTTCACGTTAGGAAAGTTTTGCGATGAAATTTGGTTACATTGTTCATTCGTAACGAAGTTTTAGCATATAAACTCTATACATGGGATCTGAAAATACTCAAAATCACATTAAAAAAATGTTATAGTAGAAACGATACATATGTAGGATTAGGGGGAGGATTATTCGAATGAGGGAGGAGGATTATTTAGTGTTTAGGATTTTTGGAGGAGATTAGGAAATATTTGGAAGAAGAAATGATTTGAAGATTTAAGAAGAGGAATGTTTTTCTTAATCTTTCTCTTTGTTTTTCTCTTCAAATTTTCTTGATTTCAAACTCCATACAAACACATATATTTATACTACAATCTCCCACCTAACTACATATCTAACTCACTTATTAAACATATTTTTACCTAATTTTCTTCCACACATATTCTACACATTTCTAACTACCTCACCAAACTACAATTCCATCACATTTTCACATACTAACACATTAATCACATTTCACACACTTTTCATATTAATCACATTTTCATAACCATACTAAAATATTTAATTGATTTTTTTTAATCAAGTTTAATTTCAACACTCCCCCGTAAACTTGATTTTGGTGACTCCGAGCGCGCTCCTGATCCTTTCGAAATCTTCTCGTTTCAATGGCTTCGTAAAGATGTCTGCAATCTGATCATGAGACTTGACAAATTGAAGTTCCACCTCCTTCTTTGCGATACACTCTCTGATGTAATGATAACGAGTGTCAATGTGCTTGCTTCTATCATGGAAGACCGGATTTTTCGCCAGTGCCAATGCTGATTTGTTGTCGACGTAGATTTTGGTAGGCTTGTCTTGCACCAGATTCACCGTCCTCAACAGATTTCGGAGCCATATAGCATGACACACACATGAGGTAGCAGCTACATATTCAGCTTCACATGTGGAAAGCGTCACTATGGGTTGCTTCTTCGATGACCAAGTGAAAGCAGAGCTTCCAACAAAAAATACAAATCCAGTGGTGCTCTTTCGATCATCAACATCTCCAGCCCAATCACTGTCACTGTATCCATGTAGCTCAAAATTGTTAGTTGATGAGTACGATAAACCAAGAGCGATGGTACCTTTGATGTATCGAAGGATCCTTTTTGCCATCTTCAAATGAGTTGTTGTCGGAGTCTCCATGTAACGACTGACAAGTCCAACTGCGAACAGAATGTCGGGTCTCGTGCAAGTGAGGTACCGAAGACTTCCAATCAGACTCTTGAAGAATGTTGGATCAACAGTATCTCCCTCTTCATATCTTGATACTTTGGCACCACATTCTATTGGCGTACTTATCGACTTGCAATTCTCCATGTTGAACTTTTTCAAAATCTCCTTGGCATACCCTTCTTGAGAGATGAAAATCTTATCTTCTTCTTGCTTGATTTGGATTCCGAGATAATACGACATCAACCCAATATCAGTCATCTCGAATTCTTTGGTCATTTGCATCTTAAATTCCTCGAACAACAACGGATTATTCCCGGTGAAGATTAAATCGTCCACATACAGGCACACAATCAACATATCTCCTCCTTGAATTTTGATGTAGAGGCCATGCTCGTATGGACATCTGATAAAATTGTTTTTAGTAAAATACCTGTCAATGCGGGTATTCCAAGCCCTCGGTGCTTGCTTCAATCCATAGAGTGCCTTCTTCAATTTCAACACTTTGTCTTCTTTCCCTCGGACTTCATAACCAGGTGGTTGTTGGATATAAACTTCTTCTTCAAGCACCCCATTAAGAAATGCAGACTTTACATCCATTTGATGTATCTTCCACCTGTTTTGGGCTGCTAAAGAGATGATCAATCTTACAGTCTCAAGACGAGCTACAGGTGCAAATACCTCGTCGTAGTCGATCCCTTCTCTTTGACTGTAACCTTTTGCCACCAGCCTTGCTTTGTATCTTTCGATCTCCCCTTTGGCATTCTTCTTTGCTTTGTATACCCATTTTACTCCGATCGTTTTGTGGCCTTTTGGAAGTGAGGTCAAATCCCATGTATCATTCTTCTCAATGGCCCTGATCTCTTCATCCATGGCATTTCTCCACCTTTCATCTTGTACAGCTTCTTCAAAATTCTTAGGTTCACAATCCGCAAAAAGACAGAAAAGAGTAAGATCATCTTGCCTTTCAGTTGCCTCATATAGATCTTCAATGCTTCGGAATCGAGGCGTTCTTTCACTTGAGCTTTCGTCCGATGATGATGGTGATAATGGATCTTGTGGCGTTGTGGGTTCTTCAATCTCATTCTCCGTTTGTTCTTCTATGTAGGGAAGGAATGTATAGTCTTCATTGCGAGTGTTCCAGTCCCATTCTCCATCTTCATCAAACTCCACATCACGACTCACAATGGTTTTTCCAGTATTTGGGTTATGCAACTTGTATCCTTTTGAGTTTTGATCATAGCCGATGAATAAGTACTTTTCATTTTTATCATCAAGCTTTGATCTTTTCTCATCATGAATACGTGCATAGGCAATACTCCCAAATACTCGGAGGTGTGACACCCCTGGTTTTCTTCCACTCCAAGCTTCTTGGGGTGTTCTTCCCACTACACTTCTGGATGGAGATCTATTTGATAAATAGACCGCCATAGCCACAGCTTCTGCCCAGAATTCCTTTGGCATGTTCTTCGTCTTCAGCATGCTTCGTGCCATGTTAAGGATGGTCCTGTTCTTCCTTTCAGCGACTCCATTTTGTTGTGGCGTTCCTGGACATGTCAATGAGCGTCTAATACCATGGTATGCACAAAAGTCATTGAATTCCTTGGAAGTGAATTCTCCACCTCGATCGGACCTTAACTCTTTGATTTTACAGCAAATCCCATGTATCATTCTTCTCAATGGCCCTGATCTCTTCATCCATGGCATTTCTCCACCTTTCATCTTGTACAGTTTCTTCAAAATTCTTAGGTTCACAATCCGCAAAAAGACAGAAAAGAGTAAGATCATCTTGCCTTTCAGTTGCCTCATATAGATCTTCAATGCTTCGGAATCGAGGCGTTCTTTCACTTAAGCTTTCGTCCGAGAAAGATACAAAGCAAGGCTGGTGGCAAAAGGTTACAGTCAAAGAGAAGGGATCGACTACGACGAGGTATTTGCACCTGTAGCTCGTCTTGAGACTGTAAGATTGATCATCTCTTTAGCAGCCCAAAACAGGTGGAAGATACATCAAATGGATGTAAAGTCTGCATTTCTTAATGGGGTGCTTGAAGAAGAAGTTTATATCCAACATCCACCTGGTTATGAAGTCCGAGGGAAAGAAGACAAAGTGTTGAAATTGAAGAAGGCACTCTATGGATTGAAGCAAGCACCGAGGGCTTGGAATACCCGCATTGACAGGTATTTTACTAAAAACAATTTTATCAGATGTCCATACGAGCATGCCCTCTACATCAAAATTCAAGGAGGAGATATGTTGATTGTGTGCCTGTATGTGGATGATTTAATCTTCACCGGGAATAATCCATTGTTGTTCGAGGAATTTAAGATGCAAATGACCAAAGAATTCGAGATGACTGATATTGGGTTGATGTCGTATTATCTCGGAATCCAAATCAAGCAAGAAGAAGATAAGATTTTCATCTCTCAAGAAGGGTATGCCAAGGAGATTTTGAAAAAGTTCAACATGGAGAATTGCAAGTCGATAAGTACGCCAATAGAATGTGGTGCCAAAGTATCAAGATATGAAGAGGGAGATACTGTTGATCCAACATTCTTCAAGAGTCTGATTGGAAGTCTTCGGTACCTCACTTGCACGAGACCCGACATTCTGTTCGCAGTTGGACTTGTCAGTCGTTACATGGAGACTCCGACAACAACTCATTTGAAGATGGCAAAAAGGATCCTTCGATACATCAAAGGTACCATCGCTCTTGGTTTATCGTACTCATCAACTAACAATTTTGAGCTACATGGATACAGTGACAGTGATTGGGCTGGAGATGTTGATGATCGAAAGAGCACCACTGGATTTGTATTTTTTGTTGGAAGCTCTGCTTTCACTTGGTCATCGAAGAAGCAACCCATAGTGACGCTTTCCACATGTGAAGCTGAATATGTAGCTGCTACCTCATGTGTGTGTCATGCTATATGGCTCCGAAATCTGTTGAGGACGGTGAATCTGGTGCAAGACAAGCCTACCAAAATCTACGTCGACAACAAATCAGCATTGGCACTGGCGAAAAATCCGGTCTTCCATGATAGAAGCAAGCACATTGACACTCGTTATCATTACATCAGAGAGTGTATCGCAAAGAAGGAGGTGGAACTTCAATTTGTCAAGTCTCATGATCAGATTGCAGACATCTTTACGAAGCCATTGAAACGAGAAGATTTCGAAAGGATCAGGAGCGCGCTCGGAGTCACCAAAATCAAGTTTACGGGGGAGTGTTGAAATTAAACTTGATTAAAAAAAATCAATTAAATATTTTAGTATGGTTATGAAAATGTGATTAATATGAAAAGTGTGTGAAATGTGATTAATGTGTTAGTATGTGAAAATGTGATGGAATTGTAGTTTGGTGAGGTAGTTAGAAATGTGTAGAATATGTGTGGAAGAAAATTAGGTAAAAATATGTTTAATAAGTGAGTTAGATATGTAGTTAGGTGGGAGATTGTAGTATAAATATATGTGTTTGTATGGAGTTTGAAATCAAGGAAATTTGAAGAGAAAAACAAAGAGAAAGATTAAGAAAAACATTCCTCTTCTTAAATCTTCAAATCATTTCTTCTTCCAAATATTTCCTAATCTCCTCCAAAAATCCTAAACACTAAATAATCCTCCTCCCTCATTCGAATAATCCTCCCCCTAATCCTACATATGTATCGTTTCTACTATAACATTTTTTTAATGTGATTTTGAGTATTTTCAGATCCCATGTATAGAGTTTATATGCTAAAACTTCGTTACGAATGAACAATGTAACCAAATTTCATCGCAAAACTTTTTCATCGTTAATGCTTCAAAATCGGCTTTTAATGAATTTACTCTCCCCCTTTTTACTTTCTCTACGCCTTGAAAAGATTTTTCTAAAATCTTCCATACCTCATTTGACGTAGTGGCATGAGAAACTTTGTCGAGTAATTCGTCATCCAAACATTGATGAATGAGAGTGAGAGCGTGCTTATCTTTCTTCCTTGACTCGGACAAAGCCTTCATTTGGGGTTGCGATAAAGACTCCTCATCTTCGGGTTTCTCGTACCCTTTCTCCACAATCTCCCAAACTTCGTTGTAGTCGAGCAAAGCCTTCATTCGTAAGCACCATTTTTCATAGTTCGTCTTTGTTAGACGGGGATATTGAAAGCTTGTAGTCGCCATTACTTCTCACAACTCTCTTTAATCTCTCAAGATTTTTTCAAAAAATTTAAGAAACCGAGCTCTGATACCACTTTGTAGGATTAGGGGGAGGATTATTCGAATGAGGGAGGAGGATTGTTTAGTGTTTAGGATTTTTGGAGGAGATTAGGAAATATTTGGAAGAAGAAATGATTTGAAGATTTAAGAAGAGGAATGTTTTTTCTTAATCTTTCTCTTTGTTTTTCTCTTCAAATTTCCTTGATTTCAAACTTCATACAAACACACATATTTATACTACAATCTCCCACCTAACTACATATCTAACTCACTTATTAAACATATTTTTAACTAATTTTCTTCCACACATATTCTACACATTTCTAACTACCTCACCAAACTACAATTCCATCACATTTTCACACACTAACACATTAATCACATTTCACACACTTTTCATATTAATCACATTTTCATAACCATACTAAAATATTTAATTGATTTTTTTAATCAAGTTTAATTTCAACAACATATTACTCAAGAAAATTTATGTATGAAATAATTGATCCATTCGACATGTAATACATCGATTCAATATATAGGATGGTTACAAAGTTTTATACAATTTATAACAAGTCAAAAGTTATTGCATTTGGAGCGAAATAGTTATATTGTTCGTATTTTAAGTGATTTTTTTTTATAACTTCAGATGAGGTTACAAAGCATATATATATTCAAATTAGATTTTGTCCGGAGCATGTTTCTATCAGGAAAATATTTTGTTTTAAACTGCTATATTAGGGTTTATTATAGAAAATAAAAATTTAATGTTATTGATGATAACATAAATATTTTTAATGTGTCAAGTCACTTCAAGTCATACCCTCAAAAAACTAGGGGAAAAAATCTCCAAAACATTGAAAAGACGGAAACGTGTCAGAATTGTATTGCCCCTCTTCGCAATTACGAAATCAACATCTTTTAAAAACAAAAAGCTTCACTTTCTTCCTCTACGATTCCTTTCAAACTTCAACCCTTTCTTTCGTTTTCTTTGCGATTTCATTGACGATTTCTCTAAGATTTCTTCTTGCAAAATCGTTTTCAGGTCAAAAAACTTTCTCTTTATCATCTTTGATTCCTGTTTGCGAAGATATCCGAATAGAGTTTCTATTACAATTCACCTAGAAAGTGAGATATTTTTTTAAAATATCGTGTATGTGCATTTGACCAAACAAGTCAAATGGATCATATTAGTTGAATTGTATAGATCAGAAAATTAAGGTTTCGCTTTGAAAAGTGAAGACAGAGTTTTTACAAAGGCGAGTCATATGGGAGTCGAGGCATACTCACACTTTCATATTTGTCAAACTGATCATATTGGTCGCATTTGAAAGGTGTGAGACTTTAAAAAATTGATCACTACGGACTTGGTCAATTTGATCACATTCGTCATGTGGCAATACCAGTGTAATGGTCACACAATCACATTAGTCATACTAGTCATACTTATCACATTTGAATGGTGTGATTAGTTTGACTAATCTTATCAAACTGGTGAAACTGTTCACATCTTTCAAGTGATCAACCAATGAAGTGGTCAAATGTCAAAATAGTCAAATTGATCAAGTCCGTAGTCATATTAGTTATAGTTGCTTTTGAAATGTGTGACCGGTTTGACGAATTTGATTAGTTTGATCAAACTAGTCATACTTGTCAAGTGGTGAAACCAGTGAAGTGGTCACACAATCACATTAGTCAATCTGATCATGAAGTCTAGTGGTCATACTAGTCATTCTAGTCGCACTTGAAGGGTATGACATGTTTGACGACTTTGATTAGTCTGATCAAACTAGTCAAATTTGTCACTATATTAAAAAAAACTGATCATGTGTGTTAAATTTATTTTTGCAGGTTCCTTTTGTATATGATTTTAAGGACATTCAACATGCTCCCAAGATCACAACGAAATGTTATCCATTTCAGATCATTCGGTCTCTAAAAAAAGTTTTAACAGACGATGAATTGATATATTTCAACAAAAAGTCTCAGTTTCGTCACATTTTCCATATGAGATGTGAAGACACATTGAAGATGGCTCCGGTATCTGTTCTCTTACACCGCGCATTAAGGTTAGAATGTGAAGAAAAAGAGTTATGGTTTATTCTGAACGGTGTGCCCATCAGATATTCGATTACTGAACATGCCATTATCTCTGGCCTAAATTGTGATAAGTATCCCGAAGATTGGGCTGGATGTAGAGGGAATCAGTTTCGGCTAAAAACATTTGGAACTTCGAAGGTGACCATATCTGGCGCAGTAGAGAAGCTGTACAACACTCCACACACAAATGTAGAGCGCAGAAAAAGATTAGCAACACTTATTTTGCTAGGTGGAGTAATAGACCGTGGTATCAAGAGCAATGATGTGATAAAAAATGACTTAGTTGATATGGTCGATCGTCTGGACTTTTGCGAAGGGTTTCCTTGGGGAAGATACACTTTCGAAAAAATAATTGATCAAATACGGAAGGTGTATGCAAGCGGTCCTAAACCAAAAGATAAATGGCATTGTCCAGGATTTGTAATACCTCTTATGGTTAGTTATATTTATACTTATGTTTTTAATGTGATTGAACATTTGAGTATATAGATATTGTTTGATATAATGATTTGGTGTGTATGTTGCAGTTGTTTCCTTTTGAATGCGTCGAAAGGTTAGGTGCAAGCCAATGGTATATAGATGTGGATGGTGTCGATCCAACATGTCCTAGGATGTGCAAGAAACGCATCAAACCGAATCTTTTTATCACACATGCAAACGTGATGAAACAGATCGGTGTGACTTCACAGGTATGTATTAATATCGATATATTAGTTACACCAGTCCCATTTGTAGTGTGACCAGTCTGGGTAATGTGACCAGATGTGAATGGTCACACAAGTCAAACTTTTAATGTTCTCACTGTTTACGCACCATTTTTTTCAGGGTATTCGAAGTATTCTTCAAATAGAGGGGGAAGAAGAACATATTTTTTTCAATCTACATGAAAAACAAAGTAGTCATCCGGTGATACAAAGTTGGATGCAACATTTGAAGATGAATCCGACAAGTATTTGTTTCGAGAATATTCGTGAGCTCGATGTCGATGGTAGAGCTTTCGTGAAAAGTGCAGAGAGGAAGAAAAAAGAAAAGGGAAAGAAACGAGAAGAAGAAGAAAAAGAAGAAAGAATAGAGGGGGAAGAAGAGAAAGGAAAAGAAAAAGGAAAAAAAGTATTTTTTGAAAGGATATTGAAAAAGACAATAGATGCCTCTGAAAAAAGGATAATTGCAAACGTCGAAAGAATTCTGAAGAGGGCAGGAGTCACAGTCGAAGCATTGGAATGGTCTGAGATAAGGAGCAACAAAGAGGATGATATTTCAACAGGTAGTTACTATACGAATACTGATTTCGAGCTTAGACCTCGTTGTTCAAAAGAGAATAAAGTTTCTTCACAACACGAGCGAGGTATGGTCATAGAGGTGTCACTTCAATCACACTTATTTGGGTTGACGAGTTTGATTGGTGTGACCATGATAGGCCTTTTCGCACCTATGAGGAAGATGAAGAAGAAAAAGGGAGGCAAGGAGCATGTTCGTGTGATAGAGGTAGGAGGGAGCACAGGGACGACGAGTGCAGGGAATTAATGCGGCACATGCGAGGTTCCTTTTTCCGTTATATTAGTGTCGGTTATATAATTACCTTTTGGCATGTAAGGTTTGTTGTTTCCACCTCAACATGTGTGTGTTGAGAAACCTATTTATCTTTCTTTTGTTGATTTTGGGAGATTATCTGAGATTTGAGAAAAACTTGAGGAAAAGGGGAGAATGGAGCCTTTTAAAATTCAAGCTTTCAAAGTTGTATTTCGATTTTGTGTGGAATACAATATGTAGTTTCGGTTACAAGGTTCCATTACATTGGTATTAGAGCAATAACGATCCAGTTATGTTGCGACTCGAGTACCTAGAGGAGACGGTTAACACCAAGTTAGATGTGTTTGAATCTGCCATGGACGAGTTGCAGAGCAGTGTGGTGATGATCCAAAAAGACATGGAGTTATGGAGAAGACCCTGGAGCGCTTATTATGTCTTTTGTTGGACACTCGCATTTTCCCACTGGAGTCTCCTCCAACGAACGCTCCTCGTATACTGTACTGGGAAAGCACCATTAGAACTACCTCATATTGCCTGTACCACCGGTGATGTCGGGAGTCGATTCGATATCGGATCATGGAGCAACAGTTATCAACGCCTCACAACTTCTTGCCGGTACGGATCTAACCCTCTGGAAAATTAAAATGTCTATCTTCGAAGGTTCGAATGTTGAAGTATGGATTACCTTATTATATTATATAAAGAGGTAAAAATTATTATAAAAAATGTATATTTATAAATCTTTTGTTTTTTGTGAATGAGAGTATGACTTGAAATCCAATATATTTTTTAAGAATATTTTTGTTATTGTCCCCTATAAAAGATTAATTAAGTTAATAATTGTTGTATATATTTTTTAATACATTTTTTTATTGAATTATCATTATACTAACGATTACTCGATTTAGGTGACTCGTCCATTGACTCAATCACACGAAGGAGATGACGGAATCTCAAATGCCTCTCGAGGATATTCAAGAAAACCCGAGATGAATAGCCGTTAAATTGCTCCATCCTAATAAATAGGGTAGAGCTATATGGTACATTTGTTTTATTTTAATACAATGTTTTTTTAATTAAAATTGAAATAATTTAATTAATCGTTATTCTTCTTTTGTTTTTGTAGGTTTCATATCGATAAAGATGATGTATGACTTGATATCAGAGTCCATCAAACAATATTTTGATGGACTGTATCTCATGTGGTCCGTTCACGTATCGAATTTTTGGTGGTCTTGTTTTATGGTAAATTTGTTTTATATTATTATCATATATCACGTTTTATATATTAATAATAATAATTTTTGGATTCTGCACATTCCGAGCTAGTGCGCACCAAATGGAAGGCAGACGTCATCTTTAAATTATGTACCCCGGGCTCTTTCGTTCTTCGTTTGGTCAAAGTAAAACAAAAAATTGTTTAAACCTTTCAATCTTTTTCAATTTCTCTCAAAAATTCGATAATGGTAATTTTTTCTTCCATATTTATATTTAATAGTATATTAGGTCGTTGTACCTTGTTATATATTGATCATTTGTTTTCTATTATTCGTTTTAGGGTTTGATTTTTTTTCCTATTTTTTAAACTATTAATTCATAATTATTTTGGATTTTAGATTGCTAGAAATCGTTTTTCAAGATTCGGTGGTTTATTGGTTGGATCTTCTGGAACACTACCATCTCGTCTTCGGTCTCAACGAGATGCTCCTCCAGTGGTCGAGGAAGATGATGGCGATTCCATGCTCGATATTAACGCAATATTAAATTTATTTAATGAACGAAATGTTCCGATTATAGATCCTGATATTGAAGGACATTATAATATTTAATTTTATAATTTTTTTCAAAAGTAAATGGAAAATCGATTTTATTTTTTAATAATACATAAATGTTTAAGGTTTGGAATTAAAGATAAAGAGTTAAACAAGACGGTAACAAATATAATACAAGCTCGAATGCCTCAATTTTATCATAATTGGACAATGACACCTGAACATGTTCCATATGGTTGGTGATTATCTTTTATTGTAAGTTTTATCTATATTTATAGTTTTTAAAAATTTAATTTATATTAATGTTAATAATATGAAGTAATTAATTTTAATTGTTTTAAGAATTTTTAAAGGATTAAGCTTCTTATTAATAATTCCAAACGGAGATACGATCTCTATGGCAAACCACCGGAATTAGAGGTGGTCATTTCGGGTTTCGGTTCGGATTCGGTAATTTCGGTTAGAGAAAAACTATAAACATTCGGTTTTTATATAAACTTTGGTTCGGTTCGCTTCGGTTATTTTTCGGTTCGAGTTCGGTTCAGTTTCAGTAAAAATTTTTTTAAAGAAATTATCGGTTTTTCGGTTATTTTTTTTATTCGGTTCGGTTAGGTTCAATTTCGATTTTTTCGGGTTTAAAGAAATCATAACCGTTCGATTTTGATGCCGGGTTCGGTTTGGGTATGGCAATGTCTTATTCGGTTCAGTTCGCCTCGGTTATTCGGTTAATAACCGAAATGGTCACCCCTAATCAGAATAGGATACCAAATATCTCTTTCAACAGCTCGTACAACCTTGGAGCTCCGAACGTTTTAAGGAGAAGA